TAAAATGTACAGAATTTATATAGAAAATATATACTTTTAACAGTGTCCGCCTTACCCCCCTCCCTGAATATTTCAAGAGCCCCCCCCCCAAAGAAAAAAGTCTGGAAGAAACACTGCTGACGAAGGGGCCCACTGAAATTTTTTGCATAGGGGCCCGAAAATCCTAGCTATGCCACTGGTCTTAGCTAACGGATTAAAGAGAATGATATGTTAAAATTCTATTGTTTCGCTGTGATAAATGTAAGGGACTTAACTTATTCTACATTTTATAAGGGAAACAACTACACATTCTTTTGTTGATTGACGTGTACCTAAAAAGTACAACAATAGTAAACAGCTATTAAATTAATATATTGATTTTCTAATATCAACTTATACGTTCGTATGTATCGTTGAAGAGATCAATTTTGGTATAAAAATATAACTAAATGGCTTTTGTATTCAAAATCGTAAGAACCATTCAAAGATGTGACATAATTTCTTACATACTTTGAGCTGGATCTTTTTATGAATGATTGGATGCCACCTCTATTGTCTTCAAATTATTTTATTTTTGATGACGAACCTAAAGTAGAATCTTTAAAATCAACTAATAATAAGGAAAGGACAGGATTAAACGACATTGTTTCAGAAGTTCGTACGAGGAGATGGAGATGGCTGGGCCATGTCCTACGCATGAGCAAAAGAAGACTCCCCAACATGGCGCTGAAGTGGACTCCGCCTGGAAAGCGAAAGAGAGGAAGACCACTGGGAACATGGAGGAGAGAGATGGAAGAAGAAATGCAGGCTACTGGCAAGACCTGGCATGAACTAAAGTGGCTCGCCCAAGACAGAGTGGAATGGCGGAGATTTGTGACGAGGATTAAGCAGGCAATTTTGGGGTTAGGCTGACTAGCTACGCTAATCTGTCAATGGAAAGGCCATGTCAAATACATTATTAGAAAAGTTAAACCAAGAATAAAACAATTATGTAACCTTTTTCCCAGTTTTCAGTAGAGATACACGTCTTCTATAAGACTGTCTCTTTAAAAAAAAAATGGTTTCCAAACAAAGATAAATAAAAAAGCCGCGACATCGTTTAAGCCATTGAAACTGTGAAATGTGAAAGTTAATCCAAGGTACTGACCGGAGAAGAAAAATGGTTCCGTAAATTGGAGGAAATGGGGAGGTGGGACGGAAGGAACAACAGATTACGTCCCCTGGAGAGTCGACTGCAGGAGAAATAATTACCCTTTTACCGTAATTACCGTTTGATGTGAGGTGGAGATTTCACCATCTCATCTTTCTTGAGATTTCAGTTTCCTGATCTTTTAGTGGAGGGCTCTAACATGAGATTTCAGTTCTATGATCTTTAAGTGGAGTTGTCTTAACATTATATCTTAATCACCTGATCTTTAAGGGGAGGGATCTAACATGAGATTTCAGTTTTATGATCTTTTAGTGGAGGGCTCTAACATGAGATTTCAGTTCTATGATCTTTAAGTGGAGTTGTCTTAACATTATATCTTAATCACCTGATCTTTAAGGGGAGGGATCTAACATGAGATTTCAGTTTTATGATCTTTTAGTGGAGGGCTCTAACATGAGATTTCAGTTCTATGATCTTTAAGTGGAGTTGTCTTAACATTATATCTTAATCACCTGATCTTTAAGGGGAGGGATCTAACATGAGATTTCAGTTTTATGATCTTTTAGTGGAGGGCTCTAACATGAGATTTCAGTTCTATGATCTTTAAGTGGAGTTGTCTTAACATTATATCTTAATCACCTGATCTTTAAGGGGAGGGATCTAACATGAGATTTCAGTTTTATGATCTTTTAGTGGAGGGCTCTAACATGAGATTTCAGTTCTATGATCTTTAAGTGGAGTTGTCTTAACATTATATCTTAATCACCTGATCTTTAAGGGGAGGGATCTAACATGAGATTTCAGTTTTATGATCTTTTAGTGGAGGGCTCTAACATGACATTTTCGCTTTTATGATCTTTTAGTGAAGGGCTCTAACATGAGATTTCAGTTTTATGATCTTTTAGTGTAGGGCTCTAACATGAGATTTCAGTTTTATGATCTTTTAGTGGAGTGCTCTAACATGAGATTTCAGTTTATGATCTTTTAGTGGAGGGCTCTAACATTATATCTTAGTTACCTGATCTTTAAGGGGAGGGATTTAACATGAGATTTCCTGGTCTTAACTTTCATGAGATTTTTTTGGGAAGGGGGGAGGCTCTTTCAGTTTCATGATCTTTTAGTGGAGAGTATATCATGAGTTTTGATTTTCATGATCTTTTCGTGGAGGGGTATATCATGAGATTTTATTTTCATGATCTTTTCGTGGAGGGGCTATCATGAGATTTTATTTTCATGATCTTTCAGTGGAGGGGATGTCATGAGATTTTATTTTCATGATATTTTTGTGTAGGGGTCTATCATGAGATTTTATTTTCATGATCTTTTCTTCAAGTGGGCTATCATGAGATTTTATTTTCATTATCTTTCATTTTGGGGTCTATCATGAGATTTTATTTTCATGATCTTTCGTGGAGGGGTCTATCATGAGATTTTATTTTCATGATCTTCCAGCTGAGAGGCGATCATGAGATTTTATTATCAGTTTCATGATCTTTTAGTTGAGGGGTCTATCATGAGATTTGATTTTCATGATCTTTTTATGGAGGGGTCTATCATGAGATTTTATTTTCATGATTTCTACTATAAGATGTTAGTTTCCCATCTTTCAAAAGAAAAAGTGTATTATAACAATTCCTGTTATCATATGCATCTTTTTTTATGGATTGGGTGGAGGGGTGTTTTTCTTGAGATGTTAAAATTTTTATATTTTTGTATTTTGGAAGAGTCTGTCTATATTATTATTTTGGGTGTCCCATCTTTTAGCGTAGGGTTCTGAACTGATTTGTATGTTAAACTTATCTTACGACTTCATTAAAAAAACAACAACACTCTACTTAAATTGTCAACGAGGTGTACTATATCCCCGCCAGCGCCCTGCTGAACACATATAAATAGCGTCACTTCATTACTGTACAGGTGCTTTAAAACAATAGCAAAGTACTGTTTTAACATAATTTGGCAATTTGAATGAGAAACTAATTTCTGTGTTGTGTTGACGAAGACCTTGGGTCGAAACGTCCATAGTATTTGTAACTGTCTTTAACTTGTGAGGTAACTAACACTATCTGTTTTATTACTAATTGAATTAACCGCACTGCAGCTATTATATTTATTTATGTTTTTTTTTGTTATAAATAGTGTGATTTGTTTCAGTTTTATTCTTTAACTGCGCTGATTTGTAGTCAATATATTCAGATTCGAGAGATTTTGTTTACTAAACTGTGCTATCCATCCCACTTCTGCTATTGATTGATTTCAATAGAATTTGTAAAGCCTCCTACAAGAACGAGTCGGGCCGCACATCCCTCTGTCTTATCCTAGCAGAAACAGATGGCAACCAGAGGAATCGTCTGAAGGTACCCCCCATCGCTTGTGGCTGAGTCTCCGTACAAGATATTGTACTTCAGATAACCCGCCACAATGGTCCTCTGCTGCTATCTTCACGCGAGTTATCCTCCCCCTGCGTTATTTTCAGCCACCTCTTCCCCCCCCCCCCCCTCCCCTCCCCTTCAATCACTCCCCACTCTTCCATTCTCACAATCAATACTCTAAGCTGTCGAGGACCCCACTACGTAAGGATTGGAATTCACATCGTGAGGCTTTTTGGAGTGGTGCCATATTTCCTGGTTCTGAGGGAAAGGGTGGGGTTGGGGGGGGTCGTCTGTCATACGAGGAAGGGGGAGGTCAAGGCCAGAGCTTTTAAAAGCATGGCGTCTCACCATAACTTATTCAGGGAGAGGGGAAAAATACAATGTTGATAGATAGAACAACGAGATGGGTCGACATTCCGAAGTCTTGTTTAATAAACGGCTGTATGTTAAATATTGCCTGTGCATTGTTTATGAGACTTTTATCTTGTGATACTGGTAGAAAACTATTTATTAGTCTTGTTTTGTTTTTAAATAAATGGCATTATTTAATGCTACAATGTATTCATAATTCATTAATATTAACTGCCGGTCTGTATACTAATAGAGAACTATTACTCTCACAAAGGCACATCAAATCTAATCGTCTAGTGAGGCTAAGAGCTAAATAAATAAATGAATGAATGAGAGAACTATTGTTACGGAGTCTGATTTATTACTTACATAAAGACATATTTTATTAGCCTTCTTTTGATTACTGCGACTTCGTTGAATTTGAAATAAAAGTTAAAATACATTTACAATAGATTAACAATCAGATGATACAACTTAAAATACTTTTTTGCCTAAAATAGGGCTGGTAAGTAGGTCACCAACCAGTTCTACGGCTCAATAAAACCTGCATGAGCCATAAAACTGGTTGGTGACCTACTTACCAGCCCTATTACATATCTATCTAAAATGAAGACAATTTTGAGTCCTTAACTAATACAATGAAATAAAATCAAATGAAAATTACCAAACAGTCAGGTTCGGTTGTGTTGTGGAAGGGTATTGACACATTTTCGAAACCAAATATTATGTTATATTATTTTGGCACACATAAACCATGATATTTTACAAGCAATGTTTCTTAATATTTGGGAACAGAATGAAAACATAAAACACACGTTACTGACATAAATGTAGTCTTTATGTATATTGAGAGGGTGTGTAGTTAACTGATTGAGTGTGTAGCTTATGAGTGTGCAGTTTTATTTGAAATGTCTAGTGATAGTTTACTGAATGAGGAATGAGTGTGTAATATACTTAACTTGGTGTGCATTTTACATACTGTATAGTTAGTTTAATTTATGAGTGTGTAGTTTACTGTATGGGAGGGTAATTTGTATGAGTGTAAAGTTCAATGTATCAATGTGTAGTTTGTATGTGTGTGTAGTTTGCAGGAGTATGTAGATTCTCTGTATGAGTGTTCTGAACGCAATATTTTTCTCTCTCAACAGGCATGCCGTTTGCATTACGTCAAGCAGGATTTGGACTAGGGTTGATCCTGATTATTTTAGTTGCTTTTGTTACAGGTAAGTCTTCGTTGTTTTTTTAAATCAATCATTCGACATATCCAACACTTAAGCAACATGATCATCTCCCCATTTTTAACAACCAAGCTCACCATCCATAATTCAAAAACCAAGGTCACCATCCATAATTCAACAACCAAGGTCACCATCCATAATTCAACAACCAAGGTCACCATCCATAATTCAACAACCAAGGTCACCAACACAAAATTTAACAACCAAGGTAACTAACCTATAATTCAACCACAAAGATCACCACCCCATAATTCAACCACGATTGTCACCACCCCATAATTCAACCACGATTGTCACCACCCCATAATTCAACAACCAAGGTCACCATTCATAATTCAACCACCTAGAACACCACCCCATAATTCAACCACCAAGGTCACCACCCCATAATTCAACCACCAACGTCACCACCCCATAATTCAACCACAAAGGTCACCACCCCATAATTCAACCTCCAAGTTCATTATCCCATTATCTAACCTCCTAGATTATTACCCCATTCTTTCAACCCACTCAGAATATTATCACGACATTTTCTAATCACACAGAACCCAAACTTCCTCAGCAAAATATTGCTAAAAAACAAAATATCCCCTTTTAAAACTAATTAGTCTTTCCTTTCTCTAGGCCTAATTATATCGCCCACTGTATTATTATTAAAACATGTCCTCGCCAACGCAATCATATTTTGTGTATTCAGCATTTTACTTTCTTTAATAAAAACATCCTCACCCTAGCCCTAATCTCGAAGCATCGTTTCAAAACGCGTATCCCCTCTGTATTGGACTTCCGTGCGGTTTTATGAATATTCATATCCTTTTAAAGCGAGTAAGTGCATCAACAGCGTTAAGCTGTCTCCTTATGTATGCTAATTACCATCACGCAAGCTATTTTTACACTAAACACCCACCGGGTTAAGGGTGCTTTGTTGCGTGGGCAACCCGTTTGCGTGAGGCTTTGAACACTGTTTTGGTTAGGGGGTTCTAAGGGCAATCAATGCAGGTAGGGTGGGGAAGTAGAGGAAATGTGTTGCTTCCCTTTTGAAAAATCAGAGGCGTAGCGACCCGGGGACAAACTATTCGATTTGCACCCCCTACCCTCGAGATTTCGATTTGCACCCCCTACCCTCGAGATTTCGATTTGCACCCGCCCCCCCCTCAAACTTTCGATTTGCACCCCCCTCAACCTTTCAATTTATTTTTCCAACCCATTTTGGCGCCCCCTAAGGTTGGCGCCCGGGGACGTATGTCCCCCCCCCTCGCTACGCTACTGTGAAAAATATAAAAACTCCCCGCTGAAAAGGCTGTGCTTTGTTTATGTATTTGGTACAGACTTCCGTTGCTAAAACAAAGGAGTGCTGTGTCAGCGTTTATGAATAGATATGGTACAAATATGTTATTGGAGCTAATAATTTTTGTCGTTTGTCGGGTGAGAGGTAAGGTGGACTATCGTTAATTGCAAGGAATCAAATTTTTTTTTACATCGGTAATCGATACTCTGTTAATGTTTCTGACACCGAGAAAAATAATGTTACATTAGTAGCTGGTTTATAACGTGGTTAGTTAATCAATGCAAGGCTCGGGCTTAATTATAAGGTTTAATCATTAGCGCTTGACAGGGTTATACTGGGAGTTATAATATTGGATGTTATTATCAGTGCCGGCGCCAGGTTATTTAGCGCCCTAGGCAACACTTTTTAAAACGCCCCCTTTCACACAAATTAATTACTGAAGCATATGTATAAGAAAACATTCAATTAAAAGTGACATGTTAGTTTATTATCAATTGCATACACGTAATAAGTAGACATGAAAGTCAAATTTTACTTGCTTATACAGTCTATTGAAATTTTTCTAAGTTTACGACTCTACTTTGTACTTTACCACAATGCCCCCCCCCCCCCCCTCCCTTAGAAAATTCTCCGCTCTCCCGGGAAAAAAAGTCTGGAAAAAGAATACTGGAAAAAAGCATAGTTCTTTTAGTGCTGGGCTCTCTGCAGACCTCCCAATGTGAGTTCCAGAACGGAACTTACCTGTTTTAAACTTGACTGTCTTGTTTATGATTGTAAAATGTCTATATTGTGTGATTATGTAACGATTTTTTTGTTTTTGAAAAATAATAGGTTATAAATGTTATAGATTCCAGCCTACAATTGTTATATATAAATCCTTTAGGAGAGGGTGTAAAATATGAAAAAGACACAGCATTCATTAGATTATTAATTTGCGACTAAGACGTAGCCTATATACTGTATGTCTACTAACATTAAGTATTGCAATCTACAACGGCTGCTAATGTATTTGTTTTTCAACTTGATAATGCTAAAAAAACCTACCAAATTATTTTGTTTAGAACTTCTGCTCTATATAATTTTTACAATAGCAAATAATAACTTAAAGTTGTATTTATAAGTAAGCGGTCGATCTAAGGTGCAGGAATTTGAAATGAATGTAAAGTTAAGCAACGAACTATCTCCCATTTAGAAATTCAAATACCAAAATTTTATTCAAGGGAAATAACTTTCACAAGAGTAGCTAAATTAACCAAATGTTACTAAGACATTCTTGAAAAACACAATAAAACGATCTAAATTTCATCATGTAATAATTATAACACATCTTTTATATTAGTTATGTAGCCGTGTCAAAATAATATATTTTACTAATTGACTGTTTAACTGTATGTTTCGTTTGAAAGTCTAAACAAGCTAGCTTTATTATAATTATAACATACTTCTAGTCAATGCTGATGACATTCATTTAATGCACACAGTAGAAAAAGTAGTAATCACAAATTTTGGATCCCTTAAATAAAGGGACGCCTTTCAAGAAATGCAAATACGGTTAACTGTTTAAGACATTGCTATGATTATCGATTAAATATTTTTAAAAATTTATAATTTGAAAAAAAAACAAAGTTTTCGGTTAGTTACAAATTCTAGCCTATATAATATATTTATACTTTAAGAGTGGTAGATTCCTAAAAAACTAAAGATTTTTCAGCTAGAGAACGCCTACCTTTCTTTGTAGTGTGTTCAAATAAAAAAAATACGACACTTTAACACTTCGATACTTTATGTCTACGAAACCATATCAGCAACAGCCTTCCGTCATTACTCCCAAATCTAAATGATTCATCAAAACTTACCAAACAAGCACATTATTTTAACATCCCGTCATTACAAAACACTATACACCAGAACATATTTCTAATTCAAAGTCAGAGAAAACTAAACTTACAAGCCCTATTAAAAACCAAAATTGCACGTGTTTTGAAACGTCCCGTCATGCGCTGGAGCGATCAACTTTAAAATTAGATAACCGTTTGGAATGTTCGAAATTTAAATATTTAATCGTTTTCTACATCAATTATCTGACACCAAAATAAAAAGGCAAAGTGACTAGTAAAAATCGCCCCGACCATACTAAATTATGGAGGTGGGGTTGCGTTTTCAACATCGCGAATAAATATAGGCCTATATAGACCTATTTTTGTGGTGGGGGCGAAAATTGATAGTTCATCCTGGGCGCCGAAATAGATCGCTACTCCTTTGTATATTACCATCTATAGTTTATATAAGATAATCAAAATTATTAATTATTAGGTACTTTTTTATAATAGCGATAATTAAACCTTTTTGCCGCCGCCTAGGCATGGCGCCCTAGGCGACCGCCTAGTTCGCCTTATAGGTAGCACCGGTCCTGGTTATCATATATTTGATATCTTACTTTCTGTATTCGTAATTGTTGCTATCGGAAATGCTGTTATCATACTTGGGCTAAGCTTATTGTTTTTTTTAGAAATCTAATATCACGGGTTTGAATTTTTGTTTTGAATTATTAAAAAAAACACAATACATAATACAAAAAAATATGTACGACATTGAGTAATATACGAAGAGGTATTTCCGTGACGCATCCATCACGAAAATGGAAAAATCGCAGCCAATTCCAAGATTTTCCAGTTGACAACTTAATTAATGACGGCAGCGTTTACACAGGACAGAGTGCGGCATTTGTTCTGGGTGTGATAGATTGGCATGCATATTTTAAAAACAAAACAAAAAACTTTGTCCTCTACGTGTTTGTAGGGATGAAGATATGTCGGTGGGCCCCCCAGGAAGATATCTGGGTGGGCCCCCATGGAGCTACCTCGGTGGGCCCCCATGGAGTTATCTCGGTGGGCCCCCATGGAGTTATCTCGGTGGGCCCCCATGCAGTTATCTCGGTGGGCCCCCATGGAGTTACCTTGGTGGGCCCCCATGGAGTTATCTCGGTGGGCCCCCATGGAGTTATCTCGGTGGGCCCCCCCATGGAGCTACCTCGGTGGGCCCCCATTGAGATATCTCGGTGGGCCCCCATTGAGATATCTCGGTGGGCCCCCATTGAGATATCTCGGTGGGCCCCCATGGAGCTATCTCGGTGGGCCCCCATTGAGATATCTCGGTGGGCCCACAGGAAAATATCCTGGTGGGCCCCCAGGGTGTTATCCCGGTGGGCCCCCAGAGAGATATGGGTCCCATGGAACGGTCGTGTATTAGTCCTATATGACGTATTAGTCCTATTAGTGTTTGTTTTTATAAATTGTCTGTATTTAAAAAAATTACCACTACTTCACACCAAAGCTTAAAATTCAGGCCTTGGTAGAGAAAAAATGCACAATGAAAATTTTAATCTGGAGATGAGGTCCCCTTTTATAAATGTCTCTGGTCTCTTGGACATACCCAGTCCACCCCTATTCTAAAACCTCTATTTCATCACGTGTAAATGTGTTTACTGCTTACACATCTCTTGTCTATAGCACACACACACATTGCATTTTTCATAGTTGTTCGTCTAGTTTTCGGTGTAAACTGATGGTGAGATTATTTTAACTTTAATTTTTCGGTCTGTTTTCTGGTGAGGTTTTACAAATATTCTTTTATCCTTCACTGACACTGTTCAGAAAGTGACACAGGACTAACCAGTCTATACATAAGAAATGTA